GGAGGCAGCTTCACAGGTTCAGCGCTAAATTGGAGCGTAATTGAGAAAGAATGCTATCCTATCGTGCATGCCTGTGAGAAACTCGAGTACTTGTTACTGCGTCCGCATGGATTCCGCCTCTATTGCGATCACCGAAACATCATCTACCTCTTCGCACCTGGAAAGGAGCTTAAACGCCACGTTCGAGGAAAACTTCTACGCTGGTCTACAAAGCTACTGGAGTATCGTTACTCCATTGAGCATATTGAAGGTATCCACAATGTGTGGGCCGATCTCATTTCGAGGTGGGGCGGTAAAACGCAGCGAATTGCAAGAATGTACATGGTCAGACGCTTCACACGAAGCAAAAGAAAGCGTGGCACGCAGGTTACATGTACGCCATTGCGTCCACTCGACCAGGACGACTTTATTTGGCCAACTATTGACGAAATCGGACGACTCCAAGCATTGCATGATGCACCAAGCTGTGCTACACTTGGAGACGACGACTTGTGGAGAGTTAACGATTTGATATGGATTCCGACGAAAGCAAGTGATTTAATTCAACGACTGTTGATTATTGCTCATTGTGGACGGAATGGACACCGCGGCATGCATGTGATGGAAAATCATATCCGCCGGTTGTTCAGCATTGGTGGTCTCGCGGGGATTGTACGTGATTTTTGCTCTAATTGCCTGCTCTGCCTACATGTAAAGGGCGGAACTGTGATTCCGCGTCCTTTCAGCGAGACGCACTTTACCTTTGAACGAAATTCAACTTTGCATTGGGATTTTTTGACACTTGGAGATTCTTTCGGTACATCGCGTTACGTGTTGGTTCTTAAAGACGAAGCGACTCATTTCGTGGAATTAGTTGCGTGTGACAGTCCAACTTCGGAAGTGGCGGCTACGGCTATCTTAGACTGGTACAGTCGTTACGGTGCACCAACTACTTGGGTTAGTGACTCAGGATCACATTTTAAGACTAAGGTGATCGCTGAATTGAGCCGTCGACTCAAGGGTCGTCAAGAGTTCATCTTAGCTTACTCACCGTGGAAAAACGGTTCTGTGGAGCGAGTTAATAGAGACATCTTACAAGTGCTGAAAGCCTTGGCGTTGGAGTATCGGATCAATGTGCATGACTGGCCCTACTTATTACCCTTAGTGCAGTCCAGCATCAACCACTCTCCGGTGCCGTCACTAGCCAACCGAGCCCCAACCGAGCTTTTCACGGGATTGCCATGCCCCAGTGCTCTGGACACGGTATTTTTTCCAGGAGGGAATGGTCGGGTGGCTACAGTGAAGCACCTCAAGTCAAAAACAGAGCAACATCTGGTAAATTTAAGACGTGGAATCATGGATATGCACAAAGCTGTTAAGGAGGAGCGTATTCGCCAAGCCCAGAGGTACCGTGCACGCCCGCATCACGAGCAAAAAGTGAATTTTTCGGTCGGA